TCCTGGTGGCTTGCTTTCTCACTTTTTTTCTCTCTCTCTCTCTGGTCAAATTAAAATAAATGAATGAATAAATAAAAATTTTTTAAAAAAGGTTAAGTTAAATTTTCACTTAACTTACTTAACCATTTATTTATTTATTATTTTAATTTGACCAGTGAGGCACAGAGCAAGACATAAATATTGTGTGGGGGGAATGAGAAAGCAAGCCTCCAGGTCTGGGACACGAACCGCGGTCAGCCATGTGGGGGTCCAGCGCCCTTAACCACCACACCACCTGCCAGCCCCTGAGCACAATCTTCTAAAGTACAGGTAACAGAAAACTAAATGGATAGTCACTACTACAAGTTCTTCTCAACCTTAAGGAGGGATGAAATTCCCAGTTCTCTGACATTCTTATCTCCAGTGGGATTTGCAATGTGAAGAACAGGTATTCCATCTAAAATCACGTAAGAGAAAGGTTATTATACACTCTCTGGGGAACTGAAGAGGTAAACATTAACAAACAGAGAAGGGCCAGGCTGGGGCATGTGGTGAAGGCAGCAGGTTCCCATGGGAACTACCCAGTTCCAATCCAGGGCTCAGTGGCTTCACAAACACACCAGCATGTGCGTATGGACACGCCCAAAATCCTAAGAGGAGAATGAAAGAGAGGGGATTCTGGCATGGCCACCCGCTCCACAGTGGTGCTTTCTCACTTTTTCTCTCTTCTTCCTTCCCTGGCAAGCATACACATCCTACTGCAGTTTAAAAATTATTATTATTTTTTAACTTGACCAGAGAGAGACACAGAGAGAGACAGAGGGACAGTGAGAAAGCAAGCCGCCTAGTCTAGGACTCAAACCACAGTTGGCCATCTGGACATGCAGTGCTTTAACCACCATGCCAACTGCCAGCCCACACACTATGGAATATTACAAAAAAAAAAAAAAAAAGGAAATGGAATACGAAAGTAGGTATTTACTTTTTTTTTTCTTTTCCTTTTCTTTCTTTTTTTTTCCTTTTTAAAGGTTTTTGCCAAAGAGCTGTGAGAAAGTGAGAAATCACTCCCAGGGGAGGGGGGGGGATTGGCCACACCACAATCCCTTCTGCTCCATTCTCCCTTGGGCCTTTTGGCATGCACATACACGTGCTCAGCATGATTTTTCAAGCTGCCAGGTCCAGGACTCAAACCGCAATCTGGGGCCTTAATTACCATGCCAAGGGTGGTTTTCTCATTTTTATTTCTAAAAACTTTTTTTTTTTTAAGTTTTATACTATAGGGTCTGTGCTTTAAGCCAGAGAAAGAGAGAGAGAATGTGAAAAATCATCTCCGAGGATGAAAGCCGGGCTAAAAAATCTCTTCTCCTCCAGTTTGCTCTAGGGATCTTGGGCATGCACATGCACGCCCACAGCATTATGTTCAAGCTGCCAGCAGGGACTCGAATTGCACAGCTTGCCCTGTGGGATTCAGAGACTTAACCTCCATGCCATCTGCTTGCTCCAAAACCTCCTCCTTTTCTGTATCATTAAAAATATATGAGGGCTAGGGACCAGCAGATGGCGTAATGCTTATGTCGTTGGATACCCACGCCCTGCTGGGCGCCTGTGCATGCCCAAAATCCCTAGGGGAGAATGGAGAAGGGATTGCAGCTTGGCCATCCGGGCTGGGGGAGGGGGGAGAGTGATTTCTTGCTTTCTGGCTCTCTGGCAGCGAGCGCACTTCTTTAAAAATTTAATTAAAAATTTTTTTAATTTAAAAAAAAAAAAGAAAGAAAGAAAAAAACAGGACAGAGCAGGAGGTGATTCATCTCCCCTGGGAGATCTCCCCCCCTCCCCAGCATCAGTGGAACTCAGGCTGTCCTCTGGGAGATGATCCAGGGGTTGAGATTCACCGGACACTCACAGACAGGGCCCTGTGGGAATCCTAGGACAGCCCAGGCGGTTCTGAAACCCAGGACCAGGGAAAGACGGGGCGGCGTGGGGGCTTTCTAGGTTCTGAAGTAGGTGTGACCCAACAAAGGAACCCTCACCCCGGAGGCTCTCTCTGATGGATGTCTGCCTAGAGAAGAGAGGAGGGCGGCAGGCACAGAGCCCAGGCAGGTGGCCGTTCTTGGCTCTCCCTCCTCTTGTTGAAAAAAGGACACAAAGAGAAAAACAAGCTCGCCTGAACGTCACCTGCTGCTCCGCGGACGTCATAAGTCATTAAAACACCACGTGGGGTTTTTTTACAATGTGGAAAAAGAGAATCAAAAGGAGATGCTTGGGTGAGCTGGGCAGGAAAGGTAGCATGGGGGGACGGAGGAGAGGGAGCCCGAATTGGGGGATTGATCGAAGCCACAGGAGGAGCGAGGCTGGGAACACCGAGATGGAGCTGAGGCCCTGTTTGTCCACATCGCGGGCAAAAAAAAAAAACAAAAAAACACAGAAGAAAACGGGTGATCATTTGAGAGAAAGCAGGGACTGAAGCTCCACGGCCCAGAGCCCCTCCCTGCACGACCCGGCAGACCGAGTTCGGACCCGCGATGACCGCTCCCGTCCCCCCCCCCCCCACCGCCCCGGGGCGGCCGCCGAGCTGCCCGGGGAGGGCGCCGGGCCCAGCCCAGATGGCCGCGCAGGGTCGGGACAGCACACCCGGGGGGGTCCCGTTATCGACCCAGGCCCCACCCCGGGATACAGGGACCGACGGTCCAGCTGCGCCCGCGGCGGATTCCGGGCCGCGGACTCCGCGGTGGACAGCGAAGGCCCGGCTCCGCCCAGCCGGTTCCGGCCGATCCCAATCGCTCCTCCGGCCCCGATTCGGGACCCCCTAACCCCGCACACTCACCATTTCCTGGCTTCCGGGATGTCCCCACGTCCTCCTAGGTCTCCCTCCCGCGGTGTGTGACGACACAGAGCCACAGAGCAGCGGCACAGTCCACGCAGCACCCTAGGAAACAGCGGAGGCGCTACACCGAACCGGGCCGCAGCGAGACAAGAAAAGCTCGCGAGATCGTCCAACGTCACCGCCTCCTCCCGGAAGTGGACCGCGTTGAACTGACGGCGAGGCCCGCCCTTCTGCCCCTGATTGGCACTACTCAGGCCACGCCCCCTCCGACGCTTGACTGGCAGGCCGGGCACTCAGAGCCGCAGACAATTAGATATTTGGCCACAGACTAGGCTGGCCGGCTACTGTCCCGCCCTGGGCCTGGCTGCCCCAGATGCCATCTGAATTTCAGCAGAACCTGCTCCTAGGGTTCCAGAGCAGACAGGCCAGCGTCTTCCTGCACTCCATGGGACCCTGATGATTTTTGTTTGTTTGTTTCTTTGGGGGAGAGGTTTTTTGCTATAGGGTGCATTTGCTTGCCAGAAAGACAGACAGAGACAGAGAGACAGAAAGTGAGAAATCACCCCCCAGGGGAGATGGCCACGCCGCAATCCCTTCTCCTCCATTCTCCTCTTGGGATCTTGGGCATGCACGCACACGCGCCCGGCATGAGTTTAAGCCACTGGGTCTGGGACTCGAACCGCGGTCAGCTACATGGGAGTCTGGTGACATAGCCATTATGCCAACTGCTGGTCCCCCTTGATGGTTTTATTTTTTAAAAGTGAGGGTCATGGTGTGCCCAGGGAATTCCAGACTCAGTATCTAATGGTCAGATCCTGAGTCCTCAAAGTCTGAGAAGGGTCCAGCCAATAGGCCACATGGGAACAGGAAAGAGACACGCATGTCCTCCAGGGATCGTGAATTTGTAACAAGCTTATTTCATCCATGACCACAAAAGGCTTCCACCCACCTTCTTTTTCAAATTTTATTTATAATTTTTATTTTTTAAACGTGTTTTAAAGAATTATTTTCTTGAACTTTATTTTAAATTTGACCAGAGAGGGACAGAGTGAGAGAAAGGGAAAGTGAGAAAGCAAGCTGTCAGGTGTGGAACTCGAACTGTAATCAGTCATGTAGGAGTCCAGTGCCCTTAACTACCACACCACTTGCTGGCCCCTTAAAATTTTTTTAAAGAATTATTTTCTCCAACTTTACTTATTTATATTTATTTATTTTAATTTGACCAGGGAGGGACAGAGCGAGAGAGAAAGAAAGAGAAAGAAAGAAAGAAAGTGAGAAAGCAAGTCACCAGGTCCAGGACTCGAACAAAGGTTGGCCATGTGCAAGTCCAGCACCCTTAACCACCATGCCACCTGCCGGCCCCACATTATTATTATTATTATTATTATTATTATTTGGAGAGGTTTTTCTTTTTGCTATAGGGTGCATGCGCTCGCCAGACAGACAGAGAGACAGAAAGTGAGAAATCACCCCCCTCCCAGGGGGGATGGCCACGCTGCAGTCCCTTCACCTCTGTTCTCCTCTCGGGATCTTGGGCACGCACGCACATGCGCCCAGCATGAGTTTTAAGCCACCAGGTCCGGGACGCCAACCGCGGTTGACTACGTGGGAGTCCAGCGACATAGCCATTACGCTAACTGCTGGTCCCCACGTTATTATTTTTTAAAAATTTGCCACAGGTCATGCACGCTCACCAGAGAGGGAGAGAGAAGGTGAGACATCAAGCCTCCAGGTCCAGAATTCAAACCTCATTTAACAATGTGGGAGTCCAGTGCCTTAACCACCATGCCACCTATTAGCCCCAACCCACCTTATTTTTCAATCTACTTCTTCTTAGTCACTAAAATAAAAAAAAAAAGCTGTCAACATATGAGATGAAAACAGAGGCAATACAAGTAAAACAAACATTTTATTTGAGTCAGGGATAAGATGATCACCAAAATCCCCACAAAATCCAAGTGGTCTAACATATGTGTCAAAGTGTCACAGAATCAGGATGCCTTTATTTATTATTTATTTTTAAAATGTTTGCTATAGGGTGCATGCACTCACCAGTTTATTTTTAAAATGTTTGCTATAGGGTGCGTGCACTCACCAGAAAGAGAGAAATAGAAAGCAAGAAATTACTCCCTCAGGGGGATGGCCATGCCACAATCCCTTCTCTTCCATTCTCCTCTCAGGATCTTGGGCACGCATGCACACGTGCCCGGTGTGAGTTTAAGCCACCGGGTCTGGGACTCGAACCCCGGGCGACTACATGGGAGTCCAGTAACATAGCCATTACACCAACTGCTGGTCCCTCAGGATGCCTTTATTTTATTCAGTTTTTGCTATAGGGTACATGTGCTTGCCACAGTGAGGAAGAGAAAGAGAGAGAGAGGGAAAGTGAGAAATCACTCCCCAGGGGGGATGGCCACAAGGCAATCCCTTCTCCTCCAGTCTCCTTGGGATTTTGAGAATAACACACACCAACCAGGGATGATTTTCCAAGCCACCGGGTCTGGGACTCAAACAGTGCAGTTGGCCATGTGGGAGTCAGTGCCTTAACCCCCATGCCACCTGTTTGCTCCTCAGGATGATTTCAAAGACAAAATACACGAAAGGCAGAGGAGTGTTGTGTAGCAGTTACTTGTCAAATTGTGGGCTAAGAAGAGCAGAGAGACCTTGTGATCACCTAGAGTCAGTTTAATCATAAAGAAGCTATAGAGACAGTGCGTCTAGAAGGTAAAGGAGGAATGTATTGGGGTAATACAGGTGTCAGGGGAATGGGGGATAAAACGTCCAGAACAGTGAGAGTTGGACCACTGAGTCCTACTCTGTCTTGCGATACCTGAAATTCTGTCTCAGCACAGGTTCAATATAACTTTTCTTTCTTTTTTTTTTTTTTAATAATCATTTATTTATTCATTCATTCATTTTAATTTGACTAGAAAGACACAGAAAGAGAGATAGAGAAATCGAGAAAGCAAGCCACCAGGTCTGGAACTCAAACCGTGGTAAGGCCATGTGGGAGTGTCCAACGCCTTCACCACCACACCACCTGTTGGTCCTCAGTGTTTCTTTCTTTTAGAGGTTTTTTCCTTGGGGCATGTGTGCTTATCAGAGAGAGACAGAGATAGTGAGAGGGAAAGTGAGAAATTACCCCCTCGGGGGATGGCCATGCCACAATTCCTTCTCCTCCATTTTCCTCCTGAGATCTTGGGCACGCATGCACATGTACCTGGAGTGATTTTCAAGCCATCGGGTCCAGGACTTGAACTGTGGTCAGCCACGTGGGACTCTAGCAACGTAACTGCTACAACATCTGCTGGTTCCAATATAGCTCTTCTTTATTTTTTAAAAAATTTAATTTATTTAATTATTTATTTTAAGTTGACCAGAGAGACACAGAGAGAGAGAAAAAGAAAGAGAAAGAGTGAGAGAGATAAAGAGGAAGTGAGAAAGCAAGCCACCAGGTCCAGGACTTGAACCATGATCAGCCATGCAGGAGTGTCCAGTGCCTTAACCACCACGCCACCTGCTGGTCCCCCAGCATGGCTTTTCTTACCAAGGACCCTGAAACCTTCACTAAGGCAGTTCATTCAGGTCTGTGCAGATCTTCTGCAGTGTCTGGGGCATCTTCCTCCACGTCTACCACTGCACCGAAGGGAAGTCGGTGTGTCTGGGGAGGTTTCCAGCTCACTTTCCACTGCTGCACTGGACAGGTTCCTCTGTGAGGATAAATGCCACAGTATAGTCATGAGGCCAGAGAGCAAGACCCAGCAACGAGGGAGGAAAAACAACTTCCGAGAGCATTGGGCACGTCAGTGATTAACTCAAAAACAGAAAATCAACTTCTGGTAGCACTGTGAAGGGGCTCTGTGGGCCTGCTTTGACTTAACATGGTGAAAATGATATTTTAAAATGTAGGGGACATGGAACCAGCAGTCGGCGTGATGGCTATATCGCTGGACTCCCATGGAGTCGACCGTGGTTCGAGTCCCGAACCTGGTGGCTTAAACTCACACAGGGCATGTGTGCGTGCGTGCCCAAGATCCCGAGAGGAGAATGGAGGAGAAGGGATTGCGGCATGGACATCCCCCCTGGGGGGTGATTTCTTTCTGTCTCTCTGTCTCTTTCTGGCGAGTGCATGTGCCCTATAGCAAAAACTTCTCCAGAAAAAAATTTATATATATATATAGTCACAACAAAAATGAAATTTTAACTTTGGAAGGGAGGACCCCCTGCTACCTCACACCTTGCCTTCACACAGTCCTGTGGATGGGGCCCAGGACCCAGACAGGAAGATCTGGAGGGGCTCCCTGAGCAGAGGTCATAGCACCCTATTTGAATGGTGGCAGGGAAAGGGAGGAGGCGGGACTCAGGGCTGCATGTGGTGCCGCTGGGTTCCCTCCCCTCGGCAGGCTCCAGGGCTCTAGTTCCAGGTAGCAGCTTGAGAGTAGCGCCAGCTCCCGTGTCCTGGAAACTGGGCCCAGCACAGGGGAAGAGGGGAGGCTAGGGAGAGAAGCAGTAATCGGCGGCGGCTCCGGTGTCCCTGACACCAGATCCTCTGTGCAGCCGGGTAGAGGCAGGACGAGGAGGGAACCTGAGCTGTGAAAGGACACGCCTGGAGAGCAAGACACGGAAAGGGAGCAGCTGGCGGTGACGCGCTGCTCAAGCGAAGCGGATCCACGTGGCGGTCGCGTGCTTGGTTCCCCGGCCAACCTCTACATGATGGACACATGCCTGGGATCCTGGCCAGCTGGGAGGATAGGGGTCGGGAGTCATGGCATGAGACACTGTTGAGGGTGTGTGTGTGTCTCTGGCACTCTTATGAAAGAAATAAACTTTTTTTTTTTAGGAGTTGTATTTTTTTTAAAAAAAACTTTATTTATTTTCATTTGACCAGAGAGGGACCGAGTGAGAGAAAGAAAGAAAAAGAAAATGAGAAAGCAAACTGCTGGGTCCGGGACTCAAACTGTGGTCTGTCTTATGGGAGTCCAGTGCCCTTTGCCACCATGCCACCAGCTCGCCCCAAAAGAAATCAACTTGAAAAAAAGAAACGGAAGGGGCCGGCTGGGTGGGGTGGTGAAAGATGTTGGACTCCTATATTGTCAACTGTGGTTCGATTCCCAGACCTGGCAGTTTGCTTTCTCGCTTTCCCTTCCTCTCTCTCTGG